ATGTCTGCTTAACAAACCAAGTGGGGCTTTTTATTTTGTTTTTGCTTTTTTGTTAATCCTCACCTGAGGATATTTCTCCATTGATTTTTAGAGAGAGTGAGAAAAAAAAAAATCCATTGGTTGCCTCCTACACGCACCTAGACCAGGGCCAGGAAAACTGCAACCAGGTTACGTGCCCTTGACTAGAATCGAAGCCAGGACCCTTCAGTCCACGGGCTGATGCTCTATCCATTGAGCCAAATTGGCTAGGGCCAAACCTAGTGTTTTTTTTTAATTATAGTTTTCCTTCTAGAGACTCCCCAAGAGAAAAATAGTATTTTCCTTATTTATTATCGTCCTCTGTTTGGAACAAATTATTAAGATTCTAAAAATTAAACTGTCGTATAATTCCCTGTTATTTCAATTCACCACCAAAGCTGTTTTGACTTTCTGGTGAGAAAATATCTACTTGTAATTGCTGGGAATTATTTATAGCCCAAATTACTTTTATTTTCTATTCAAAAATACTAATTCCTTGCTTTGACTTCCTGTTCTGTTCGACAGTATTCAGGCACTATTGGTGACTTTTTTCTCCCCAGGAACCGTGCGGTCAGTGGACCTGCTGTTTAACCTGGATCGAGTTACTGCTGTGGAACACCTACTCAAGTCAGTCTTGCTATATACTTTCAACACCTCAGTTTCTTTCCCCTCCGCTGCTAACTGTGTGTGCCACCTGGTGCTGAAAGAGCCAGCGTCTAGTTCCAGCAAGACACCCCCCAGAGCTCCACACTCCGTGACCTTTAAGTCACAGTTTGAATTAAAAAAGAAATACAAATGGGTTGAGGTTGATGTGACTGCCCTGCTGCAGCCTCTGGTGGCCTCCGACAAGAGAAGTGTTCACGTGTCTGTGACCTTGACATGCGTGAAAGACCAGCGGCAGCACCCCTCAGCACAGGTCAGTGCCCTCAACCTGGCACGCCCCTCACTGCTTCTGTACCTGAACGACACCAGTGCGCAGGCTCGTCACAGGTGGTATTCCCTCCGCTATAAAGGGAGCCCTTCACAGGCTCCTGACCAGGGAGGTCTGCCTGCCTGTCCTATAGGAGAAGAGGCTGCGAAGGGAGTGAGATCTTCCCGTCACCGTCACCGGAGAGGACAGGAAACTGTCAGCTCAGGATTGAAGAAGCCTCTGGTTCCAGCTTCTTTGAACCTGAGTGAATACTTCAAACAGTTCCTTTTCCCCCAAAACGAGTGTGAGCTCCATGACTTTAGACTTAGCTTTAGTCAGCTGAAGTGGGACAACTGGATTGTGGCCCCGCACAGATATAGCCCCCGGTACTGTAAAGGGGACTGTCCAAGGGCAGTTGGGCATCGGTATGGCTCTCCAGTTCACACCATGGTGCAGAACATCATCTATGAGAAGCAGCTTGACTCCTCGGTGCCAAGACCATCGTGTGTGCCTGCCAAATACAGCCCTTTGAGTGTGCTGACCATTGAGCCTGATGGCTCAATAGCTTATAAAGAATATGAAGATATGATAGCCACTCGGTGCACCTGTCGTTAACAGATGATCCTCTAAACGAAAACCTTGAGCCTCTTTGGCAAAGTGAATGCCCTGCGCCCACCTGTGCCTTCATGTGTCGAATCTCTAAATATAGTGCATGTGTCTTGTAGAAGGAGGAGTCTGTGTAGATTAGCACATTCCGTGGTATCTGTCAGCGTAAAGGGACATCTGCCTTTTTTATTCACAAATGTAAATGAGTGTAATTATTTTGGTGGACTTTCCGTTTTTTCCCCCTAAGCAGTTATTTTTTTCTTTTCATAAGTCTTTTTTTTAATGTTAAAAACTTAATGAGCATTAATTTTGAATGGAATTGCAGCTCTAAGTAGACAATTCAGAGTGTTGTAGTCTTATTTAATGGAAGAATAAATTCCTGTCGGTGGCATAAATTTTCTATATGTGTGTTTATTAAATAAAGATTGCTTTTATATGGTGATTTGGGAGGCAGAGGAAGCATGTCTAAAAGCTAGTCGTGGCTCAACCTTTGATCTCTGTCAGAGTAAAAGAGAGGCTCACTTCTTTACCTACATCCTGATGAAGTGAGGTTCACTAGGTCTGGAGTGTATGCAACATTTCTCTTGCATTAATGTGACTGGTACACAGTATACTAATTCTGCTCGTTAGATGACTTGTATAAATTGATTCACATCAAACAATATAATATTTGTCCCATTTATTTAAAGGAAATTGCCTTGCAGATTTTTTCCCAAGAAATTGCAGGGTTAAAGATTTTTAAAATGCATTTTCTTCTTGATGTATTTAGGTCTCTGACGCTATGGGAGGAAGTCAGGGAGCATTTTTTGTTTGTTTGTTTCCAGTTTCCCTTAGTTCCCATCACTCCACCCCCACGTATTTTTTTCAGGTGGACTTTGGACTGTTCCACTGATCCAAGCTGGCAGTGAGGAGGTTACATTACAGAGGGGGCCTTGTTTGGATATGAGGGCTTATATGTGGGTTTTCTTTTTTTTTTTTTTTTTTTTTTTAAATATATTTTATTGATTTTCTACAGAGAGGAAGGGAGAGAGATAGAAAGTTAGAAACATCGATGAGAGAGAAACATCGATCAGCTGCCTCCTGCCCATCTCCTACGGGGGATGTGCGGGGGATGTGCTTGCAACCCAGGTACATGCCCTTGACCGGAATCGAACCTGGGACCTTTCAGTCCGCAGGCCGACGCTCAATCCACTGAGCCAAACCGGTTTCGGCTATATGTGGGTTTTCAATCAATTTACCTTAAGAGAGTCCTACGGGCGTGGAGGGCTGATGCAGTTGATTTCTGTTTCAGAGTTTCTAAAACCTTCATCTACAAACCAGAAGTAATTCCTAGGTACAAGAAGTATTTAACCATTCTTGTAAATGATGTTTTCTTAGTGCATAATGTCTGACTAAAGAAGTCAGCTTGGATTTTGATATAATGGTGTTGAATCTGCAGATCAGATTGGGGAGTGTTGCCATCTTAATGCTATCCATGAATACGGGATGTTTTCCCCTTTAGGTCCCCCCCCCCCTCAAAAATGTTTTGTACTTTTTGAGTAAGTTTTGCATCTTTTGTTAAATTTATTTCTAAGAATTTTATTCCTTTTGATGTTATGAATGGAATTGTTTATTTTATTTTAGGGTTGTTGCCTGGTGCTGTCATGCATACACATTACAAACCTGCACATACTGACATAAATGCTCTGTTTTCTGCTTGTGATTTTTTCCTCTTGAAAACATTTCAGAAAAGAGGTACTGAAATGGAGGGAGAAATTTTAGGTGACCCAGTGTCCAAATAACTTTACCATATTGTTGTGTAACTTTGAAGGCATTATTATTCTTTGGTAAAGGAAGCTGCAAGCCTAAGAGATAAATGGTTTTTCAGGGGTTACTTCTGTCATCCTTAGGAATAAAACATACCAGAATGGAAAGGCCATGAGTAAGGGTGGCAACGTACAACTGAACTTATTTGAAAGTAAGTCTCCCTTAGATGTGGCTGTTTTCAAATGGACCACATGAAATATAAACTCAAGGAATTCCTTATAGTTCCTCAGTTACCTTCAAGTAATTTAATTTTTGTTTTTCTGAAACAGAACTTTGTTTTGTTGTTTGTTTTTCTGTTTTTTTTCATGGCTTCGTTCTGTGGCTGAGTGTGGAATGTGCTCTGCAATCTAGAGGTTTGGAAAAGAAGAAAATGAAAGGATAGTTCTGATGGACAGTAAATATCACGGTCAGTGCCAGAATTAGGAACAGAAACAACAGTTCATCCTTACAGGTAAGTTCTAAAATGGATTTACTTAAAAATTAGCTTGAATAACTTTTTTTTTAGGTTTTATTTGTAAATCTAGTTTCTCATTCATAAGACAGTGTTAATATTTGGGGCTGATGTGTCTGCTAAATTTAAACTTCAAAGATTCTCTTCTACACAATTGAGGAGCATATACCAGTCTTCCAACTGCCTCCTCCATATAAAACCTCTTTTTCTTGGGTTACTCTTACAAAAGCTGCCACTTTAGAAAATAAATGACAAAGGACAGCAGTGATTTAAATCTGGAAATTTAAGGATGAGGCCACATCTGCCTTAAATAGATGCATTCAGCTTTGGTATTTAGTCCAGATGAGATACGAGGCCACCTAATGTGCTGAGTGTCTTAGTGTGCCAGGGAACAATGGGGCATGTCAGGAGCTGGTTTTACCTTCAGCTCTGAGTTTCCTGCTTTTTATCGGTTTAAATCAACTCCTGTGTTACGTTGAATACTTTGTGTTTTACTAATCGGTTTCAAGCGCAGTAGCCGCTTGGACTTTGTTTAGAGCTCAGTGTAGACAGTCTGGGGGGAAATACAGTTGCTCTTTCATGGAGGAAGTGCTCCTGGTTACATAAGTGATAACAGAAAAGTGCTCAGATAGAAGAACTTGGTTTATGTCAAACCTTAGTCAACTATAATTTGTAACTTTGGAGTGATTGTAACTTCTAATAAGTAAAGTGAAATGTTAACATGTAAATATTCTTTTAGAGGATGTTAGTCCCGGAAACATGCCTTAAGTGTAGAGATTGGCTGGATGGGTTGATACCATAGAAAAGTATGCTCTTCTGTCCATTAGCTGTTGTCTAATTAGAAGGAAAAACAACCACAACCAGGAGATTGATATTTCATCCTTTACCAGAACTGACACGTCAAATAGGTTCTCCACGTGTAACTGTCCCCAAACCACTGATTTAATGCTCAATTTTTGGAAGGGGCCTCGGTTAATTAGACCAGGACTATTTCAGTATCCATTTAAAAAATGATTTTAGCCGAAACCGGTTTGGCTCAGTGGATGGAGTGTCGGCCTGCGGACTGAAAGGCCCCAGGTTCGATTCCGGTCAAGGGCATGTACCGTGGTTGCAGGCACATTCCCAGTGGGAGGGGTGGCGGAGGCAGCTGATCAATGCTTCTCTCTCATCGATGTTTCTGACTCTCTCTCTCCCTTCCTCTCTGTAAAAAATCAATAAAATAAAATAAAAATGATTTTATAGCCCTAGCCAGTTCGGCACAGTGGATAGAGCACCAGCCTGCAGACTGAAGGGTCCCAGGTTCTATTCCAGCCAAGAGCACATGCCGGGTTTCGGGTTTGGTCCCCAGTAGGGGGCGTGCAGGAGGCAGCTGATCAATGATTCTCTCTCATCATTGATGTTTCTTTCTCTCCCTCTTCCCTTCCTCTCTGAAGTCAATAAAGAAATATATTTTCTTAAAAACAGAAAAAACGATTTTTATAGGTGGCCTAACAGTATTTCTCTGTCCTACCTTACTGTGTAATGCAGTATTCATGGGAGAATTGAGTGATTAGATATGTGCGAACAAGATCAACTGTACATTGTGGACATCCTAAATGCGTTGTGTGTGGTTTGCAGAGTTATTTATAGACCTGCCTGTGGTGCTGGTGTCTTGCCAGGTTGGAATGCTGTGATGGGCAGTTCACAGGCTGTACCTGGATCCATTTTGGCTTTCTCAGAAATAATTAGCTCACTGAATAAATATTTATTGAACACTGACTATGGGCCAGGTGCCGTGTGAGGTTAAGAACAGAGTCTAATGTTCTCGCCTCCAGGAAAGAGATAGCGCCTCCCAGAAATGGTGACTCCTTTGGTAGCCTGAGTTCTGTCTGCGAGCATCTGTCATCACAGAGTCTTCTGTGGAGGAATACATTTTGGGGTGAGTATTATACAAGCAGGCTGAATAAATGCTAAGTTATTTTACCTTTAGATTAGAATTTTTTAAAAATATATTTTATTGATTTTTTACAGAGAGGAAGGGAGAGGGATATAGAGTTAGAAACATCGATGAGAGAGAAACATCGATCAGCTGCCTCCCGCACATCTCCCACTGGGGATGTGCCTGCAACCCTGGTACATGCCCTTGACCGGAATCGAACCCGGGACCCTTCAGTCCGCAGGCCGACGTTCTATCCACTGAGCCAAACCGGTTTCGGCTAGATTAGAATTTTTTAATTAAATGTTTTATTTTAAGATAACTGCAGATTCACACACAATTGTAAGAAATAATAGATCTCATGTAGCCTTTATCCAGTCCCCTCAATGATAACATCGCGCAAAAGCATAGCATACTCTACTGACATTGATACAATAGACAAGAATAGTTCACATTGAAACTCAGTTGGGTCACGGGAAAGGCTGATCTTAACATCCATAAAGTTTTGATATCTCCTGATGGAATTAATGGTTCAGTATTTTTCATCTTCTACCACTTCACCTCTACCCTGGAAACTTGGAGTCTTTGAAACTACAAATTTATTTATTCAATAAATGTTTATTGGGCACATACTACATGCTAGGTATTCCTCTAGAGCAGTGGTTCTCAACCTTCCTAATGCCGCAACCCTTTAATACAGTTCCTCATGTTGTGGTGACCCCCAATTTCATTGTTACAAAGTGAACATAATTAAAGCATAGTGATTAACCACAAAAACAATATGTAATTATATATGTGTTTTTCGATGGTCTTAGGCGACCCCTGTGAAAGGGTCGTTCGACCCCCAAAGGGGTCGCGACCCACAGGTTGAGAACCGCTGCTCTAGAGGCTGGTGTAATAGTGATAAATAAGGGAGACAGGCAGTTGCTGTCATGGAGCTCATGTTCCAGTGCAGGGAGAGACAATGAACAAGTCAACAACATGAGAAGCCATGTACGGGGGCCTCCCCGCAGAACAAACTCGTCGTCTGACATCAGAAAGTCCTGGGTATGACTGGCAAGTGGGAAAGGAGAAGGAATAAGTGGAATGGCAAGTGGGGCGGGAGGAGATGAAGTTGAAGAAGCAGACAGACAAGAAGATACAAGACCTTATTGGCCAGTGTGAGGGGATTGGATTTTATGCCAAGATCAATAGGAAGCCACTGAAAATGTTGAATCAGGGGC